AGATAAGATAAAGGGAGCAGATCCTTTAATAAGTCCATAGGCCTAGAGAAATACATACCACGTGCCCTCTCTCAGACACTGGTTCTATGATTCTATTATAAGGTCCATCCAATCCCAATTTGTCCAACCCCCGGTTATGCCCCCCGACACGCCCCTTCGGGAATTGAGTCTGGCGGCATTTGGAACCCCTTCTTCCTCATCTTCATCTTCTTCAAAGCACATACAATCCTTGGAGTTCTTCCAAAGTTCTGGGCTTGAAGGTCACTGTGTCTGTGTGATATCTTCTGGTCCAGGCATTAGGGTGTTTTTCTACAATTCTACCTTGAAAAGAAGACTAAACACGCTAACGGAATTTTAGAGGGATTGATATGAAATGGGGTAGTAGGGTTGTGTATGTCTAAACATTATGCTACAGGGTAAGGGATATAATACAGCTACATTAAAATCTACATTCACTGCACATCTACTTCTAAAATCTATAAAAGTTAAAAAATAAAAAAAACCCTCTGAGGCATGAGTCCCCCCTTTAGAGATGGACAAAACTCAATCTTGTCCAATCTCTACCACTTATACTTGACATTATACCAGTAAGATGAGTAATACATACATCATCGGTTCATGCAATGAGCTACTATACAAACACTAACTATGTATATCACTAACAGGAATAGCTGTTTTATCCAGGTCCAGTTCGGTAACCATGAAGTAAGTTTGCAGAGAATGTCTCCCACACCCAGTGAAACATCATCCAGAGCTACCTGATGCAGAATTTTGGTTTGCTTCTGAATTGCAGCCAAATCTTTATTAATTCTTCCACTTTGGTCTACGTAAGAACACCAACTGGTATTGATGACCGTACACATGCCTCCTTGTGAGGCTAGTAAAAAGTTGAGGGCCATTCAGTTTCGTAGTACTACATGAAACAAACTATGGACTTCCTCTTGTAAAGCCATGATTGCATCTGAAGCCTGATTTTGAATATGTTCAATAACAGCTGAGATGTTAACAATTGCCTTTTCCAATTCACTTGCTCCTAGAGATGGGATCAGGGCCCTAACCATACTGTGAAAAAACGTGGGATGTTCAACAAGGGGATTGTTGGTTCTTTTTACCCTTCTTGGATAAGTTCTTTCCCATTCTCTTTGTTCATCAATTTGGTCGAGGACTGTTATGTTCAGGATTATAGCCCCAAGGGCACAGGCCCAATCTTTATTGAGGGGCAAAACTTTCCAGGCTTCCTTTTCACAGATTCAGTACCATGTTGAACCCTGCGGAGGAATTAATCTCCAGGGTGTCTGTGCCATCTTTATTACAGTTTCTGGTTTTATCCCCTTTTTGGATCTGTCTTTATCACAATAGGGAGGTAGAGTGATCTTTCCTGTAGCCTTAACAAACATTCAGGGAACTGCACAATTTTCTTGATCACGAATTACGTTGCTTAGGGCTATCGGATAATAGGCCTCAGTAACCCATCTCCAGGTCCCTGGGCTGATCGTTTGTGGGGTTTCCCCGAGTCCAACAGTCATGCCATAGTATGTCTTATTTAACAAAAGCCAATTAGGGGCCAGTTGCTATCCTCCTCATCAATTGCTGGCATTTGAGTACAAATCCAGCAGTCATTTTTGAGAAGGATTTTAGATACATTTTGGACTAGAGCTGTGGCTATATTAATATAATATAAAAAGGTATGACTCGGCTGGGAGGTGGCATGCAGCCAAATCTGTTTATTTCAAAGAAAAGTCTTCCTTTTAACCTCTCCAGAGGACATGTGACCGTCTGGCCAATGACAGCACAGCACACACTGCACATGTGCCTCTGCAGTCCATCTAGGAACTCCAACTCCCATGATGCACCCCTTGCATCCCTTGGGACCCATCCCCAACATAGGGCCACATGTAACTTTTGGTTCCAAACCCGAATCATAATTACTGACTGTACAGATAACATACACAAAAGAAACAGTCTAGGCCACATCCTCTTCATCTATGTCAGGCTCTGATTTGCTAGTTGTTCCAGGAACCGAAGCTTTCTTAACTCTGGAGTAATGAAACCAGGGTCCTTTGCCAGCAACTTTGATGGCAGTGAGGGAAGTCGGCAGGACTTGGAATGGTCCTCTCCACTTGGCTCGGAGTGGGTCACTGTTCCACCATTTAATGTAGACACAGTCTCCAGGCTGGAACTGATGAGCAGGGGTGTTCAATCCTATGGGTCTGGATAACTCAACAAATCTATGGAATTTCTGTAAAGTAGAGCTTAGAGCCATTAAATACTTTTGTAGATCAGCTCTCCCACTCATGTGAATGTCCCCTGGAATGTGCAGAGCTTGGTATGGTCTCCCACATAATATTTCATAAGGACTTAGGTTATCTCTCTGTTTTGGTTGTATGTGAATACTCAGCAAAGTCTGAACCCATGACATGGATGTTTCCTGACATATTTTACCAATTTCCATTTTAACAGTACCATTTATACATTCTACTTTGCCACTTGCCTGAGGTCTGTAGGGAGTATGCAGGCCCCAGACAATTCTCAGGACATGACAAACCTCCTTCACTACTGTTGCAATGAAATGTGTCCCTCTATCTGATGACATTCCTAGAGGAACTCCAAACCTTGCAATTATATGATTGAGCAAAGCTTTTTCCACTTCCTTGCTGTGTTAGTGAACCAGGGGTAAGCTTCAGGCCATCCATTGAAGGTGTCAACCAGTACTAGTATGTACTTGTATCCCTCCCTAAGTGGTAACTCAGCAAAATCTATTTGCCAATAATCTCCTGGAAGGTCCCTGGCCTTTGTTGCCCCCAGCACCACTCTCTTAGTTGTATCAAGATTGTTTTGCCCGCAGATTTCACATTTACTTACAATGGATCGCACAACTTTGGTCATACCTGTCCCTATTACTACCTTCTTCAAATGTTTTAGAAGATTTTCTGTTCCTCAGTGGGTAGCCTCATGTTCCCGCAGAGCTATCTCCCTAAGAAGTTGGGGTGTGATCACAACCTGTCCTGTAGGTGTAACAGCCTATCCACTTTCTTTGATTTCAGCATTAAGGGACTTAAATAACTGGTGGTCTTTCTCATCATATTTTGGGGTGAACCCTGTCAGATCAATTTCTTTCTGTGGTATTACTGCTAGGATACCTTTTTCTGCAGCCCCTTTTGCCGCCTGGTCAGCAAAATGATTTCCCGATTCGGGAGTTGTTTTCCCCTTTTGATGAGATCTGCAATGCATGATAGACACTTCCTCTGGTTTCCAAATACTCTGCAGGAGTGCATGGATTTGGTCAGCATGTTTGATCCCACTGCCTTGGGCAGTTAGTAGCCCTCTCTTTTTCCAGATGGCTCCATGGGCATGTACAACACTGAATGCGTACTTAGAATCAGTCCAGATATTTAACTTCTTTCCTTTGCTCAGTTCTAGAGTTCTTATCAGTGCAATGAGTTCTGCTTTTTGGGATGGCACATCTGCTGGCAAGGCCTTCGTCTTGATTACTTCATCCTTGGTTGTCACTGCATACCCTGTCATTCTCTTACCATCCCGCATGAAGCTGCTTCCGTCTGTGTACAGTTCTCAGTCCGCGTTTTCCAGAGGCACGTCCTTCAGGTCTGGTCTGCTGGAATAGGCCTCCTCGATGGTCTGCAAACAGTCATGCTCAGGCACACTGTCAGTCAATGTTGAGGACAGAAACATAGGAGGATTTACAATAGATGTTGTTTTCAGGGTAACATCATCCTGTTCCAACAACACAGCTTGGTATGTAAGCATTCTGCTAGGGGACAGCCAGTGGCCCCCCTTCTGCTCAAGCACAGCTTGGACTGCATGGGGTACATACACGACAATGTGCTGCCCAAGGGTGAGTTTTCAGGCCTCCTGGATCAGGATAACAGTTGCTGCTACAGCTCTCAGACACCCCGGCCATCCTTGGCTAACACTGTCTAGGTGTTTGGAGAAGTAGGCCACAGCCCTTTGCTGGTTTCCCAGGGTCTGTGATAATACCTCCAGAGCAACATTTAGTTGCTCATATGTAAACAGTTCAAAAGGCTTAGTTAGGTCTGGTAGTCCTAATGCTGGAGCTGACATTAAAGATTGCTTCAGCTGTTTAAACGTGGCTCTGGTCTCATCTGTCCATGTTACAACTCCTTCCCTGGCCACTTTTAGTGTTCCATATAGGGGTTTGACTAGTAACCCATAGTTAACTTTTCACAGGTGACACCATCCTATCATTCCTAGGAATGCCTGCATTTCTCGTACGGTGTGGGGCTCTGGGAGACTACAAATGGCTTCTTTCCAGTCTGTGCTGAGCCATTGATGTCCATGGTAGATTTCAAGCCCCAAATAGATGACTTTCTCCTTTGCAATCTGTGGTTTCTCTTTCGAGACCCTATACCCACTTAGTCCCAAAAAGTTTAAAAGACTTACAGTGAACTCAGTGCATTCGTCCCAACTTTTGGCAGCAATTAGTATGTCGTCTACATATTGCAGGACAACTCCTTCTGGCTGCTGCCTTCTCTGGTCTTCCAGTTCTTTTGCCAGGTGGTTTCCAAATATCGTTGGGCTGTTCTTGTACCCCTGTGGTAGAACTGCCCAGGTGACTTGAGTTCTTCTCCCTGTCTCAGGATTTTCTCATTCAAAAGCAAAAAGTTCTTGACTGTCCTTATGTACGAGAATGCAGAAGAAGGCATCCTTGAGATCAAGCACAGTAAACCACCCTAAATCATCTGTTAATGTGGTCAATAAGGTATAGGGGTTGGCTACTACTGGGTATATGTCCTTGGTTATTTTGTTGATTGCCCTCAGATTGTGGACCAATCGATAGCTCTTACCATCAGCCTTCTTTACCGGTAGGATAGGGGTGTTGAATTTGGACTCACATTCTACCAATAACCCAAATTTGAGAAACTTTTTAATTATGGGTGCTAATCCTTTACAGCTTTCTAGTTTCAAGGGGTACTGTTTTTGTCTTACCGATGTTGCTCCTGGTTTGAGTGTGATGCTTACAGGCTCTGCTTGTTTGGATCTCCCAGGACACTCACTAGCCCATACTATAGGGATGACAGCATTCTCAATCTCTGTGGGGATCTCTCCGTGGTTCTCTTGTATGAAGAAGGTAGCTGCCTCAATATATTTAGTGTTAGGAATTATGACTTTTATTTCCCCCCCTTGCAGAATTAAATTTCAGCTTCCAATTTCTCCAATAAGTCTCTACCCAATAAAGGCTTGGGAGAGTTTGGCATATAGAGGAATTGATGAGTTACCCAGTGTTTACCTAATTTAAATCTCAAAGGTTTAAAGAAAGGCCTGGTTTCACTTACCCCTGTAGCACCAACCACAGTTATAGTATCACGACTCAATTTCCCTTCTAAGGTATTTAACATAGAATATGCTGCGCCTGTATCAACCAAGAATTCAACTTCTTCTTCCCCCAACTTAGCTATAACCAGAGGTTCTGCTGGGGAAAAATCCTCTGGTCCCCTTCATGCATCCTGGTTCACAGCCAGTTGAGGGACTGGATTTCCACTTCTTTTCAAGTCTGGACGATCCCTTTTCCAATGTCCCTTCTTTTTACAGAAAAAACATCGATCGTTTGCCCTATCATGTTGGTGATTGTATTTACAATACTTGTGGTAGGCATTATGTTTGCAGCCTTCTGTGGAGTACATGGCAGGTATCTTCCTCTAGCTTCAGCACCCTTGCCCTGCCTTTCTGATCTCTATTGCGATACACCCTCCAAGCTATATCCAATAATTCACCAATATCTTTCTTGTCCCCCACCTTCTGCGCTTTTTCCTTATATCATCCGCAGACTGGTCTATGAACAAATAGACCAAATGCTTTTTCCCCAAACCTGACTCCGTGTCTATGTCTGTATATTTTCGTATAACCTCTTTTAGCCTATTCAGAAAGTCTGTCGGGGACTCATTTCTATCTTGTTTTACTTCATACACCTTTGACCAGTTCACTGCCTTTGGAATCCCGTGCCTGAAACCATACACCACCCAGTCATGATAGCGTTTCAATGCTTCCTTTTGCTCTGGTAAATTAGGGTCCCACTTCGGGTCCTCTAGGGGGAAAATATCCTTAAGTTCCCCTGTGAGTTCTCCAGCTGTTATTAGTAGCTCAATTCCAGACTGAGCAGCTCGCTTAACCATTTCCTTCTCTGTAGAGTCAAGTAATGTATCCATCATCACTTCTAAATCACACCAATCTGGATTTTGTGTTCTAATTGCTCTTTCCACATAATTAGCCACTTTATCTGGGTTATCTCTATATGCTCCGACAAAAGCTTTCCACTGCTGCAATTCAACCAGAGAAAAAGGAACCTTTATTAACACTGGGCCTTGGTTACTCATAGCCTGTCTTAAAGGAGCCTCTACCACAGGTTTTTCCTTCTTTGTCCTCGTTCTTCTAGACACTGGGCTGGGATCTGCTAGGGCTTCATGGACTCTCCTCCCCTTTGTTTTTGGTTTTACTACAGGAGGTTTTTCCTCCTCCGTGCTACTATCTAATTTGCCATCAGAGGCTTCTGTACTTGTGCCAGTAAAATCACTGTCTCGAGTTTCGACCTTCACGCTCGAGGGGTCAAAGGGGGGAAGACCCCGCCTTTGCCTCCTGTTGGAGGCCGGGATTGATTTGCTCTTTCTTAGAGTGCTCGTTCCCTGATGATATGGGGCGGAAGCTGGAAATTCCTCCAGTTTCTGCTTCCTCCCTTTCACAGTGGGAAATCCTCCATAACTGGGCAGCGCAGCCGAAGTGACCGTGCCCCCTGTGGTTGGAGGATAGGGACAATAAAGGACCGGGGGTGCTGGGGAAGAGGGGGTGGCTCCAGCTCCGCCCATAATGGCGGAGCCGGAGGGTCCCATGTCGGCCGGGGCGGTGATTCTGGCTGCAGGCACCGCCCCTGCTCCTCCTCCCGCGGTTCCAAGATCTACACTGATGCCTCCTATCACCACAGTGGGCGGCTCCACCCCTCTTCCCGGGGCCGTGTCCATGCCTGCAACTACTCCTATGCTGGCGGCAGCCCCCGTTGCCGTAGCAACTGCGCCGGCAGTCAGCACCACCCCTGGGGCGGCTCCAGCCAGAACCGACCCTGCAGCCCTTGAGGTGGCTGCCGCCTCCCTGCTAGCGACCGCTTCAGGCTACGGGCGACACCGCTCCCACAGCCCCTGAGGGGGCGGCCCCCCCCCAAAGCCAGAGGTGATCCCTTAGGGATCTCCTTCTCCTTGGCCAGCGTGCAACCCATGATGACAAAATACAGACAAGAGTAGCGCTGGGATTAGAACTCGCAGACCCAGGAGCTCTCTGCCA